TTGTTGTTTACTTAATCACATAACCACATAACCCGATAACCACCTTATCGTGAACAGCCTAATAGATTTTATCCTGTCGAGATGCCCCGTTACCGTGCGATTCTATACTGTGACGTTGAGCAACACAAAAAGCTCGTGCAGGTAAAATCTTTTATAAGAGTGTACAGCTTCTAGAGTATGCCGATGATATTGATATCACCAACCATGTCAGCCTGGAAATCTAACGCAGGATAACTCTTGCCAACAGGTGCTACTTCGGACTGAGTAGGCAATTGAGAAGCAAAGTCCTCTCTCGACAAATAAAAACCAAACTCTATAAGTCACTCATAATTCCCGTCCTGATATAGGGTGCAGAGGCTTGGACGATGTCAACAACGGATGAGTCGACGTTGCGAGTTTTCGAGAGAAAAGTTCTGGGAAAGATGTATGGTCCTTTGCTCGTTGGCCATGGCGAATATCGCATTAAATGACAGCGGCTACGCTGGATAGGTCATGTGTTGGATGGACGAAAACACTCCAGCTCTGAAAGTATTCCACGCAGTACCCGCAAGGGGAAGCAGACGAAGAGGATGACATCCACTCCGTTCGAAGGACCAAGTGGAGAAGGACCTGGCTTCACTTGGAATATCTAATTGGCGCCACGTAGCGAAAAGGAGAAACGACTGGTACGCGGATGTTAACTCGGCTATAATCGCGTAAGCGGTAACTACGCCAATCAAGAAGAAGAATTATGTTTTTTATGTTATAGAAAATTTTACATATGTCATCGACGTATTTATTTTCATTCAAGTTTAAAAACATCTCTGAATAATGAAATGTAATAGATTTTGTGACAGTCACTTACAGAATAGCAAAATCGTCTCAAGTCTCAAAAATTTTCTGTAACTTCCTTATCTTCTAAAATCTCAAATTTAGAGACTTGATACGAACAGAATCGCACTGTAAAACTAAAAATAACGCTCTGAACACATAGAGCTAGAAAGACTGCTAGCGATAACTGTGTCCGTAAGAACGTGTCTATTTTAATATTTGACAAATGTCGCTTGCAGTCTTTCGCGCTCTATGTGTTCCGGGCGTCATGCGGAAACTTAAGGTTAAACAACAAATGTCTATT